ATATATCTGTAAATAGACCAAGTAGATTTTAGTGTATGATTGTTCACGAATAAACCTTCTTTGTTTAACTATTGTGTTGGTTTTAATTCACCACGAGAAACGTTACAATATTTTAGTTGAGTAGTTGCAAAGCAACGCTTTAAAGACGCTCTTCGGTTGCGTCCTCTTTCCCTGAAGAGCATGCGCAATGCTTTTTTCTTACTCAGTACTTACCGTGACTGATGAGACAAAGACTATCGATTTTTTTATACGACCTACTACAGTAATCTTGATTGTCTTAATAGGGATTACGTATCTGAAAGATAATTACGTTTTATGGCAACTGCATGTCTGAACTGTGCTGATATGAACGAAACAGTGACAAGAAAGGTAGGTCTTCACTTCAGCGCTAACAATATTTGCCAGCGTGAGAGCAAGTTGTAGCTTTAGTGATATGTGAGATGTACTTTTTTGCCACTTACTACTTATTTTGTACAGAGAAAGTATGGTGTTGCTAAAAGACGATTATTTGTCAGAAACACACGTTTGAATTACAGGTACCAAAATGTGGGTAAATATTGTTCGTACAATAGAAAATTACTTCCTCTAATACGTAGTATAATTAAAATCCACGTTTTGTGGGTTCTTGATTCACACAAATTGACTAATGGGCTGTTTTTCCGGTAAACTCAATGCTCAAGTTTTTTTTTAATTGTTAAAAAAAATGAAAATTGGCTATTTTTCACGCACAATTACGCGATAACTACTCAACAAGTTCAAAAACAAAGTTCATGACCTTATATGTCCGTCTGGCCGTCTGGCCGTCTGGCCCTCTGGCCGTCTGGCCGTCTGGCCGTGAGGCCGTCGGTCCGTGTGTCTCTCTTGCTACCGCTTACGCAGGCGAGTTATCTCGGTTGCCGTGACTTTGAGTCTCCGTGTGGAAAAACATTGCCTCTTAAAAACACTATTGCATGTTCATGTAATAGTAGACTATTGCAGATCCGTTGCAAAAAATGTGCGAATATATGTGCTGATGTAGCCCCACTAGCATGGTGTCATTCAGCACGATATTTCTAGTGCACTGCACTACTGTAACCTAATTTTGTTTTTTTCATTCCCAGGACAATGACACGTCAACTGAGAGCCTGCCGCGCACTCCTGGTCGGTGCTACATGTCTTACAGTGTTACTAGTGACCTATAGGTTGGCAGGCACTGCCTCGGCTCAGAGGGGGGCCGGCCTCCTTTTGGAGTTGCCCCATCCGGTTCTGGCCAATCATGGCGTAAGTGTCCTTCTTCTTCTTCTTCTTCTTCTTCTTCTTCTTCTTCTTCTTCTTCTTCTTCTTAAGCCATGACTATTATATTTTTCTTTATTTTTTACACAATTATTATTGAAATATTCGATTTTATTTGACATATGTGAAAATTGGTGGAATGAATCGAGTTTTGATTGAACAATAGCACCTGTTGAGTTCGAAACTATATTCGCCAAAGTTGCTCGTAATGTTCCAAATTCATTTTAAGAGAACGGCAAGGGTTAGTGTACAAATTGTTTACAGGTGGATATTTTCTGCGTTGACATATTTTAGCATGGGGAACCGACTAGGAGTAACACGATACAGTATTGTGATCTAGTTGAAAATCCATTGAAGATGCTTCTAAAATTAAGATAGTATGAGGAGATTACGCAACTGGGGGAGCAATGTTAATGTTTAGTATCTAACACTGGACTTCAATGTATGAAATAAAAAAAACACACAATCGAATTAAATATTTATAATATTTAATTCGATTATATATTATTTTTATAATTATAATTAAATTAAATTAATATTATTATATTTATAATTATATATTTATAATATCCAATAAAGACAAAAATAGTAAGCAGAAATTCTGCCTGCGGCCATATAAGAGATCTATGGAGGTGTTTCGCTTGATTCCAAGACAGGATTCAGATTAGAAGTATAAAAGCCAAAAGTCGTGTTTACACTGGCTGTACGTTTCCTGTACGATTTGCTACCACTCGCCGCTAGGGGCTCTGCCGGCCACAAATGATGGAGGAAGTCTTGCTTACAGAAGTGAGATTCAGGAACCTCACATTCGCTAGTGAAGGCAGTGAAATAAATTCCCCAGAAAATCCGAGAACACGAACGCTTGCTACGAGTCACTGAAATAAATATAAGAAGCATTTTATTTTTTTAAAATATTACCTCATGTACACCCTCATCGGTTAATGTTTGTTTGCTCACCGCTTAAAATTCGTATTTGATGCCACTTTGAAAATATTTCTAAACACTTTCACACTACATGCTATTTGACGGCCAGCTTCTGGTCTGGCATTTCCGTAAGTAGCTACATGGGTTTTTCAAACGAAGCGCCCAAGCTGTGGTCACGTTGTTCGTGACGCAAACTGGTGCTCCGCAGGACGAAAAAAAAATTTCGCCGGAGTAGTTCACCCACATCTTTCCACCATGATCCTAAGTACAAAATATGATGGGATGGGCGATTTCCGTTGTAAATAAACCTGTTAGGAAACAAGTCTACCGCTGGAAGCACTATAGTCAAACTACGTTTTCTGTATTAAAGAATAGAATTGAATTACAAGTTTTAATTTTGAAATCTAGCAGTCTCGACTATGTACGCCCAAACTGCACGAACACTGTACGTAGTCAAGCGACCTGGAAGGAATGGATCACGAGTTCTGAGGATGCCTCGAACCCACATTCGACGCAGTTACGGCAAGGGAAGGCTTCCATCAGGGACGGCTGGATCTTTCCCTTCGCTTGAAGACCGAGTGATTGGTGATTCTAGGCGCGTCAACTGCCTCGGTCGTTAGTCATGTAAGCGTATTGCAAGATTTTATCACGGGTGGTGGCAGTGATCTTCTCTTGCTGGATGGTGAGATCCGGCGCCGACCTACCTGTTTTCTTCCGGGTTTTCCCTCAACAAATATCTCACTAGTGAAGCACTGTGTTAACCGGGGCGAGCTATAAGCTCCCGACTGCTCTCTAGACATGTGTGGTAGTGTAGTGCACGTATGTGTTAAGTGTGTGTAAGTAAGGGATGAGAATAAGTCAAAAAAGAGGAAGGAAACCTTGCGCGCGGTCCATAGTGCGTTTGTTAGGGTACTGCTCCGGCATTCGCCTGGTGTTTAGCGGAGAAACCACGGAAAACTACCGATCAGAGCAGCCGGTCGCTGAAGTTCTTCTCCAGACAGCGACTGAACTCGACCTAGCTAAGTAGAAATTCCTGACACCGTCGAGTCAAACCTAGGACCTCCCTGTCAGAGGCAATAGTGACATCATTTGATGCCCTGAGCCAGACTACCGGAGCACTAGTAGAGAGCAGCTCTGAAGAGGTTGGAGCAAAGGCGAGAAGCTATCCCAAACCAAAGAGATTACACAACTGACTAGTACAAGAAAGTCTGAGCCATTTTATAGCACCACCCGTTAAAAATTGTAAAGACAAGCACATATGTTGAATGTGATTATTGGAGATTTCTTGACCGATTTTAGCAGCCGACTACTAGAATTCTCCTCCAGGCAGCGGTTGAATTCGGCCTAGCTATCTACCTAGTGTCGAAAATCCTGCCACCGTCTGAATTCGAACCCTAGCGCCTCCCGGTCAGAGTCACTGCAGTGACAATAATTGATGCCCACCTAAGCCGGTGGGAAGACAGACTTCTGGGGGGGCAACACGTAAAAGGGGAAATAATGTGAAATAAATTGAACCTTAGAACCAGTTAACGCCCGTGGTACAAACATGATTTTACTTTTTTTAAACCTAATTTTTTGGAAGTAGCAACAGTACAATTTTTTGGCGTCTTCCCTCACCTACGATATTAAAGTTGTTTATTTGTAATAAAATCTGTTCTTTAAATAAAGATCTTAAAAATGTGGACATCTTTCGAAGATGAAAGTAGTTTTCGCGTAATTTTGAGTGACTTAAAGGCAATTTGTAATATTTTATTCAATTTTTTTTTTCAAAAACGTCTCCAAATTGTTCCTTTAAATTTTCTTCTCGTATGTATCAAAGAAGAGTAAAAAAATCATTCTAGTTTTATATCCGGCGAACTCATTGTACTTTCAAAAATTACAAGTAATTAACATTTGAAAACTACAAAACAGAGATGGAGATTTTTGCCATATTCAAAATGTTTTCTAAAAAATAGCTCTTTAAAAAACGTCATGATTTTTTAAACGAATAGTTTTCGAGTAATTATGTAATTTATTTTGGAAAAACATTTTTGTAAAAAGACGCTCCAAAATTTTCTTCAATTTTTTTCCGCGATTAGGACAAACAACGCTTAAAGAGTAGGGCAGGTCTCATTGTTGTCGAACTGTCTGTATTTTGGATAATTGCAAGTTTAGAAATCTTGTAAGAAGGTTTTTTTTTGTTGTAACACCACTAGTTGTTTTTGCAGAAGAATTGTGTGTCACATTTGGTGTAATAATGTTATCCAGACAGGAAGCAACAGTGATTTAAAGATCAATTGAACAATGTATTGTGACAGTGTAGTATTTTTGTGTATTTTCCATTTCAGAATTGGTCGAACAACGAATTGGACCAAGATGATTCTTCGATTGCAATTCCGTTTGTGAACCGAAGTCGAGAAATTCAGGATGTCATTAACAAGCAGAGAATTCTTGTTGCTAAAGAAATGAAGCGTTACAATTACCGTAACGGTCAACACAACATAACTGCCAAGTGAGTAAAAACTAATAACATAAAATCTTTAAAATCTAGACTTCTCATTCCCATAACATCATACGATCGAACTGCAATCGTAGCTAGATTTGTTTTTCTCAATCATCAAGACGACCTCAAATATTATGATGAGTAGTGTATTGCAGCAATACAAAAATTAACAAACATTGTCCACACTTTTAATAACTATGATTATATCCTAACTTTTTTAATGAAATGGCAAACAACAATCAAATTATTTAGATCTAATTATCATTAACCATAATGGCAAAGCTATGTATATTAAACCATAATATAATAAAACTAGTATGAATAAAATCATATTTGGAGCATAAAAACACACAGTAGACAAGGGTAAGGATAGCAACCCCCCAGCATTATAACCTTAACTTACCTTACCCTATTTTGAAAAAACAGCAACCAAAATTAAAAACTGGTACACAATATAAGAGTCGTATATAAAATACAATAAATTAATTCAGTTCATTGAAAGTAAAAAAAGACTCCATAACCTTAGACTCCAAGCCTTAAGAATAACATACATCGTATCATATTAGTTGTAGCCAGAAACAGTGTAAGGCAAAATACAGTCGCCTCCGCCTATAGAGAAACCTCTGTTATAGGGAACTAAAGTTACTGGTCCCATGTCTCTTTCATTACAAATAAGTAAAGAACGGATTTTCATGCAGTAAAACACCCTAAAACATTCAGTGAAAACGAAGCAATTTTTAGGCAGTCTCACCAAAAACGTGAAATTTTGTGCAAAATAAAACCCAAATTAAAATAAGATCCTGTTCGTGATTCAAATTCCTGTCAAGGTATCATCTGATTTCCAGTTAGAAAAAAAAAGATGCCGTAACTCGGAAATTTGGTTTTTGCAAATAAGTGTAAGAAGATTCGGTTATTGTAAACGTGAACCTCGGCTATAGTGATGGTAGGAAATAAGACGGCTTAGAAATGAATTCCCTCCTGGAAAATAATATATCGCCTCAGTGCTCGACGAATTCTCCCCTGAGATGAGGCTAGCGGACCGGACACCTTATATATGTCTAGGGGGCGGATTATGATGACCTAAAACATTGTCAAAAATTATCAATAAAATGCCCGAAAAACAAAGAAAAATGACGTAAATTGTTTTATCACAGACACTTCAGATGAAAAACTCAAGCTGTTTGATATGTTACTGATGTGATCGAGGCTTCTTCCTTTTGTTCAAGTAAGCTGAGCTTGCAAATTTGGGTTTGAACTGTTGTTTTAAAAAAAACTATTTATTGCAAAATCAGCCGAACTGACCATGGCACGGAGAAACGTCACGGCAACCTTAAATTAAACAGTACTAATAACGGCTGACATTACAATATATGAGCAAAGAAATCGAATAGGTTACTCAAAAATTCTGTAGTGAACATTTGTTGCACTTCGTAAATATTATTTGAAGCAATAGCATTAAAATTAAGTTAAAATGGATTAAATAAGCAAAAATGCTGTAAAAGGGACGTAGAAATGTAAAAAAAATGATTTATTGGTCGAAATCTGCAATAAATGCAAAAAAAAATACGCATAGAAATGGGTAATTTCGTTTCGTCATAACATAAAATTAATTTCTATACTAAACAGAATTGTTCTAAAGTAAAAAAAAGACATTTCATGAAATTCCGCCCCTGCTTATGACCTTATGCCGCTCAGTTTCACTGCGGAAACAAATGCCGTGTCCTGCGTGGACTACAAATGACGATTGCTTGATACAGTTTCAATCTTGGTGTTACCTGAGATTCCGCGGGACAAAGCGTTCTAGATCTACGTAGGCGACAGGAAGAACGCGACCAGCCGGCCTGGCGATATCCGCCGTGCTGCGCGGGAAAGCGATCAATTTCATTAGCTGCTTGCACTATCCCGCAATAGAAAGCATCTCGTTTGTTATTGGACGAATTACGGGGCCTTTGGAGACTTAGAGGACCAGTGCACATGCGAGGTGGATCTTTAGAGATAGTGGACAATGCAGAATTGAGTATGGAGAGAGCACGAACTCTGGAGAACGATCTAGAGAAATTGTCAATACGAAGAAAACAATTGAAAATGATATTGTAAGGACAAATGAATATATTGAAAATTTATGTTCGTGTTGGTAATGTATTTTGCTGTATCTGCAATAAAATCAGTCGTTATTGAGAAATTCAATTGCATTTTGACATAATCAGTTATAGTGAACCAAAATAGTCCCGAGAAGTTCACTATAACCGGAATTGACTGTATATAGGCACGAGAAAAAATATATTAATATTAGAATCAAGGAACATATGAATGTCATTAGTCACAATATGAACACAGCACTATTACTAAACACACATTAAAGTACCAACGCATAATGAATTGCAATGAGGGTAAAATATTAAACAAACAAGAGATAACTACAGAAAACGACTAATGTCAGAGAGGTTACACATACACAAAGCTGATAATACTTTGAATGTACAAGCGGGCACAAGCAAATTACAACATATTTGCAAAATAATATTTAGATGACCGAGTTATGGTTCAATATTCTACTATTGACAACAACAAACTCATTTAAGAAATACCAACCAACTCATTTAAATATCTGTCGGTAGAGAAATATCATTAAGTTGGTAACTTAGAAAAACGTAATACGAATTACATTTACATACAGACATTAGTAGTGTCCACTAATCATTACAATAATAAATGGACGTTGTGGAAAGCTTTGGGTGAATTTTTCACAAATGTTATGGAATGTTGGAATTGAAGATGGAGCTGTCTTAATAAGAATTTCATTTGTAATATTTTTTGTAAATAAGTCTAAGTGCAACTATGATTTTTACATTGGAACAAATATTCGTGAAGAAGAATCTTAAAAAAAGTATTCGAAGGGTTATATAAATTTTAATAAGAATAAAGTGTATGTTTAATAATTGGTGTACAATTTACACATCATATACCGACATAAATCAATATAAGAGATGATGTATTTTGACATAAACAAATAAACAGAATTTTAAGCTACTTTTATTTTATTATTTCTTTTCACTTATTTTGAAATGTATTTTTATGTTATTTTAGCGAAAGTTTTAGTTTTGATTGATTTTTTATATCGACACAATATATACGAAAGTTAATGTTGTAAAAGTACCATATTGAAGTTGCATATATTTGTTATAAATGAAATCTGTTCTAAAAAAAATCTGATCATATATAATAAGGGACAGTAAAATAGGTGTTTTAGTTTTACTTCCCGCGAACTTCTATTTCAAAAATCGCAAAAATGTAACATTTCAAAACTGTAATAAAAGATAGCGATCTTTGCCTTATACCAAATCTGTTCTTAAACATTAGCTCTTTAAGAAAGGTCATGGACAGTTTTTTTTAAACAAGTAGTTTTCGTGTATTTTCTCCTTGAGGTAAATACAAATGATAAAAATAAAACATTTTCTCAAAAACGACTCGATTGTTTCTTCAATTTTTTCCACAGAAAAGTGATACTTGAAATTCTATCATTTTGACAATTCTTTGGGGTTAATTAAGAGCAAAGATCATACATTTCAAACTTGCCGCGCCCATGTTAATTTTTACGCCTAAATCCGCCTCTGCCTTCCAAAGAGGAAATGAATTCATTTTTTCGAATGTGTCTCTTTGAACGAATTTTTTAAACTGCTATCAAAGATGACGGGAAGATCGCGCCACTTCCCGGACACCGCACCAGCAGTATTGGGCTCAGTAGCCAGCTCCACGGAAATCAGCGTTTTCCACGTAAGAGCAGCCGAGCGGTTTCACGACACATCGCCTCGCCAGTGTAGAATCCAAGTAATACGCGCGAGTTAATTGCACCATAGGTTGTATTATTACGTAAAGTTGGTATTACATTTCCGAAGCGTGTTTGCGCACGATCTCCGTGCGAATTTCATAACACACGAGAATTACGAGCTGTGAGGAAAACGCTCTCCTTGCGCACAGGCAAAGGTCACACTGACAATTCTTCAATACTTAATGATTTTTACGCCGAGATGAGGTAGTCGTCTTCATTATTTGTCGTTTTCAGAACCTTCCCGTTTCAAAAGATATGAAAGACGTAACAGTTTCTGCTGCACGATATCTCCAAAAAACTCTCCAAAAAGGTCAAGCTATATTTTTCAGCCTTAACAAGCCCTTTTTCATATACGTAGTATTCACAAAGTTTTCTAATCGTAGAAAACGATAGATTGGTTGGAATTCAAATTTTGGGGTGTCGTTAACGATTTTTGCAATCACATTTTGGGCCGTGTGTGAACACTTTTAGTACTTAAACAGCCCGCATGGTTTTCCCGAAATTTATACTATGCTATCTTTTGGTCTAACGAATTTGATTGGAATCTCTTTTTACATACGATTCGAATTTACTTAATTACATTCCTTTTTCAAAAGGAGGAAAACGTGATGAAGAACAGTTGTGAAGCGAGAGGGGAGACAAGGTTATAACTGTCTACACAAGGAAAATAGTAATATGTTGAATGAAATCTAAATACTTCAATAGAAGATATTCTTCAATTCTGAATCTGTAATGAGAGACGGTGGCACGAGCCTGCGCGATGTCAGCGCTCTACCTACTTTGGTTAGTCAAACTCAGGGGAGCCTCGAGATAGGTAGAAGGTGACAACGTGTCTTCGCAGTCTCCATTTTCCGTTAAGTTCCCGCGGATTGCAGCCAACGAAAAACTCAAGTCAATCGATTTCAAAAGGTAAATAAGTCCACCTTTCATCAAAAAGAGTTGAGATTAATATTTCTTTTGTTATTCTTCAAGCTATAGATTAGTACAAAAATGAAACGTGTCCTGCTTAAAGAATGTCGTCGGCTATCTCATGAATGGTCCCATCTCGCTTTTAATGTCATAAAATCCTAAAGGGAGTTGGATACTGGAAACAAATTTTGTTGATCTCTATTTAATAAAAGCAATTACATGTTGATAGATTATACCAAAGGAGCAAAGGTTTGTGTTTCCAGTATCCAACTTCTTTAGAATTTTGTGACATTAAAAGCGAGATATGACCATTCGTGAGATGGCCGACGATGTGTTCTATAGCCAACTAAAAAGTTTAATGTCTGAAAAGAGAAAGAAGTCTAAGGCTAGTTTCTGTTCCTCACACAAAAGAACTAGTATTATCAGGTAGGAAACGTCTAAATGCTTCATGGCAAAAGTAATAGACACTGAGGATATAATAGACTTGAAAATCTGGTGGTCGAACTATTTTAAGAAGACAACCAAGTCTCTTGCTCGAGCTGGCAGTCCTCATGGTGAGCCTGGTATGACTACAAGTAAAACAGCTAATGTATGATAGAGAATCTTTTGAATACGTTGTGGCACGTGAGTATGTATATTCACAGGCTTATCAAGTACTCATTCGTATTGGCAAAAGGGAAGACCCGTCCAGATATGCCTTCCAGGAAAGTTTATGCCTCAGCCGTTTTTTCAATCAACGGAAATAAAATAACCGAAGTTCGAAAAATAGTAAAATACTTCTCATAGGAATAACTTCATTTCTACCAGAAAGTTTTGTCATAGCCACAGACTCGAGTGGAAATTGATGATGATATTATTAATTTAATAAAGAGTATTTTTGGGTCCATGTTGCACAATGTGTTAATTCACATCATTATATTTTTATTCTACGCTTATATTATTTCGTAAGTCCAAAAATTAAGAAATAAAAAAATGTTTTTCTAAATATTTCATAATTGATTTGTAAAGGAAAAGGTATAAAAACGGTTCTCTCTTTCTTGATATTCTCTCGTCAGTGATGTAGGAGATTCACTCACAGGTTCACGCACATCCGCGACGGCCATGTGAACTCTCATTCAGTGGCATGCCATAAGGTAACTTCACGTCGCAACTGCACGAGTTAGGGCTACATGCAGCCCATCTCGGAGTTAATTAGAGCTACAGCCTGCTACAGGAGATGCCGTACTGGCACACTTAAACGTTCACTCGCACTTTTGCTGCGCGACTGTGAAATTAGACCACGGCGGCATTTATGCCTGGTCATCGTGTCCAGAACTCGTAGCATTCAGATTTCAGATTTTTCAGTCAAAAAAATTTTAAAAAAGTAAAAACTGTATGTGACGTATGGAAGATCATCTGCGTACGTGTTCTTGAGTTCCAGAACCCCTTCCCGTCATTTTAACTATAAATAGTTGAAATATGAGTAAAAATTTAACATAAATACAAATAAATGTTAAAAATCGCAAGATTAGCAATATTTGAAAAATAGTCATTTTCGTTTCTGAGTTATAGAAAACTTATTTGCATCGGTACACGAATTGCAAGAATGATTTTTCTGTATTGTTAACAAAATAGCAGCTCGCCCTTACCTCTATTCTTACCATTACAAGCAAAAGGAGAGTTCAACAGAACGTGCGCATAGCCAAGCTACATTTACGTCCAGAAGCAAAACAAGAGGCCATCTCAGCATTTTCTCAATGGATCGGAGAGGCTGGATTCGCTCCGACGGTGATGTATTGTGATATATCATGCCATCCGCATCACAGCAGGGCACCAGCTCCGGCAACATCGACACGGGAACAGGGTAATCCGTGTATCAGTTACCTGCTTCTGTCTCCAAGGGTACCATACCAAGAAAGTGGAGTTTAGATGATCATAAACAATGTACTCATTAGTTGCATTCAACTTACTTCATCATTAGGGTATAAACTTTGTTCACGTTTGCTAATCTTAATTGCTTTTATAGACTTCTGCTTTGTTGATTTGTACATTACTAATTGTTTTAGAATTAGTTTTCTTTTATTAATAATTCACCGCTCTGGCCCGGCATGCATTTTGTATATAGTATAATAGTTTTATATATTTTTTGTTTTACATTTTCTTTCTTAGACCTTGAGTTTTATTTTCTCATTTCCATGAGACATTAACACTAGCTTTTTATCTTCATTTATTAAATAATTATTTAAGGCAATTTCGCTTCTTCATTTATCATTCGGTCGATCCTATCATTTCCTCTTACGAGATAGTCCTCCATCTCGCCCTCTGGCTACATCGTCGAGCTACCGGAGGCCGATGTGTGTGTGTGTGTGTGTGTGTGTGCGTGTGCAGTGCGCGCAAATAGTGAATAGTGCATTCCACGCTGTTGGCTCATCATCGTGCGTGACGCCGTGTGACCAGGTGACAACTGCTTGCGCACGAGCTCGCACGTCACGGACGGGCGGTGTACAGACTACTCCTGGATGGGAAATACCCCCAGGGGGGCATCGAACTTATTAAATTCAAAATACACGGACTTGAGCTAATTGTAGTAGTATATTTTGGTTATTAGGCGCCCCAACAGCCCTCGAAACCGATTTCGCCGCGACTTACTTTACAGAATGGGAATTATTAACAGCGGTGGATAAATCAATAGACAGAAATTGGCAATTGCCTAGAATGCCCGACGACATGAAACGACATGAATTAACGCCATTTTTATTTATTCTTTTGATTTTTTCAAAATTATATAAATGTAATTTTGCAATTGAAAAATTTAGAAAACGTGAAAATTTGTCTTTTAGGCGCCAGTAGATGACAGCTGAAAAGAGATGAGGCAAAACCGAAAAGATAGCTTAGACAAACGGATAAGGAAATCAACAAGTACGAGAAAGTCTGTGTCAATTGTTGCAAAACTAGTTACTTTTTCAATATGTATGATGTATAAGTAGAATATTCTGGTAATGGTAAGAGTAGAGCCGGGAGTGCGTTAGCAATACAAAAAATATCAAATCTTCAGTTCGATTACCAATGAAAATACGTGTTCTATACCTCGGGAGTGAAATGTCTAGTTTTCATATTTGATATTCTCTTATTTTGACACTTTTATTTAGAATTCAACTATTTAGGGCTAAAATGTTAGAAAGAGGATTGGGAAAAAGTAAGGTAAATGTTGTTTCCCTTCAATCTTTCTTGCATTATAGATAATTTTGTTTCTTTTTAATATTCCTACCTTTGGGTGGTGTGTAATTCTTTTCGGAAAGATTAACACTGAAATGAAAGGTCTCTAGTAAAAATACAACAAACGTAAAAAGAATATCAAACAATTTATTTATTGATTTGTGTGTCTACTGAATTTGTTTTCAAAAATTGACTGTTTTATTTTATATAGATCATTGCAAGATCTTGCCCCTGAGTCGGGAGGTCAACCAATCAGAACTTTGGTGGCGACAACGTGGCGGTCTGGTTCTACCTTTCTGGGAGATGTTCTGAATAGCCACCCAGCAAATTTTTATCACTACGAGCCGCTATTTAATTATGAAATAATTCAGATACGTGAAGAACCTCTTGCTTCCGAAGCAGTTTCAAATCTGAAAGCATTATTTAACTGCAACTATACAGGTCTTGGTATGTAGATTCTTTGATCCTTTTTGCATAAACTTTAATCATGTTTGAAGTTTACAAGTTCTGTAGAAATATTGGAATGTGGTGTTTAATGAAAAAAATATTATACACATTTTTATGTCGTTAGTCAATAATGCTATTGTGAAAACAAATCGTAAATTTCTGCCTTTCTGCGCAGTTTATCGAATTCTTAAAATACTTTTCTTAACTCTTAAGCTAAGTGCTAGAGTTTGTGTTCGATAACGTTACAAGCTATAATTTTGCTATTGGGATTCATTTCAATATGGTATATGAAATACACAATAGAATATCTCCTAGTTTTACTCAATGTACATGGCGTAACTTCTGATATTTTTCCGTAGCTTCAGTTATTTCAATGCACCATAGCCTAATACATCTTATCCAAAATAATAATACGATAACCTTACGTTATTTCAATGTGTTCAAGAGTAATAGTAGAACTTTGTCTAATATCAACCTTTCAACCCGTGAATTTGAATCTTTTCTTTTGAATTACATTAGTTTCAAAACGTCTTCAACGGATCTTCTGTTATTCACTTTCTTGCTACTTTTATACAGAAGCAGAAATAATTTTATCCCTTTCATACTAAACAATTATATGTTAGTTAAAAAATAGAATAGGAACTGCATTTCGCGAAAGCGAACGCCTTTATGATGATATTCTTAAATATTTTAGGATATACCTGAAGGACATAGAATTCGATAGGATATTTCCGAAAACATTTTTATTTCTGTACATAAGTTTTCGTTGAGACTAAAGTTAATGAGCTATGTTTAAGCTCTATTATTGAGTTTTCTCCTTTTTTCCTTCGTATAATGCTTTTCTCTCAAATTTATGCAAAGTGCAACAGATTCATTGGTAGAGTAAAATATTCACTTTACACTCGCTATACACTGACAACTCAAACTAAATCGTCACTGACAATCAACATGGTGATTTGTAAATCTTTGTTTTCAAACCTTGCAATCTCTTACGTTCTCGGAATTCAATGATGTCACTTTTGTACGAAGGTGTAAGTGCTACACGAATAATTATATGTTGCAACTATCTGTTTAAATATTTCTTTTTTAACACAGCGTGCGCGAAACGTTTTCTCGTGCTTGTTTTCCGTGTGCGAAATAGCAAATTTTTTCACAGTTGCGAAACATCGCCAAGCGTGTGCGAAACATCCGTAATGATTCCCAATTGCCTTTCGTCTTGACGACGTCTTTCTTTATTATTTTGAAACAATGGTGTTAAGGCCTTGGAATTCATTTGCTTGTGTACAAGTAAGGTATATCTAGTTACTTGATATTTAATTTAAATTCCTTTACATGAGCCATTGCGCTTCGCCCACAGAGTGTTAAAAAATAGTATTTATTATGCAACACGGGCGTGAGGAGATACCCGAACTCGTCCCTTTGTCGTCCTCGCTAAACGCGGACGATAAACTCGACTCGTGCGTGAATCACCGTGTTTTGCGCCCTTGTTTCGTAAACTACTACTTAAAAAAATCCTTTAAGGAGACTAACATTTCATTATTTTTATTTTCTTAAATATGTTTTTACAGATCATTATCTTACTTACAGTCAAAATCATATTCAATTTTTTTCTCATAACACAAGGTTATGGGCCCAGTGCAAAAAGCATCGGGATCTTTGTTGGTCCCCTGATTTCCTCTCTCCTTTCTGTCGTCTGTTCCCATTCCAAAGTATGAAAGTCGTACGACTAAGGCTCAAATTAATAGAAGATTTTCTTAAAGACCCCAGGTATTTTCGAATGAATGTAATTTATTGATTTATTGTTTTGATACGAATGTTCCTAACATTTAATTACCATTATTGTCTTGTTTTTTCAGCCTTAATGTTCGGGTATTATTCTTGGTTCGTGACCCACGGGGAACTGTACAGTCTCGAAAGCATCAAGTGTGGTGCCATAATCATACAGATTGTGCAGAACCTGCACTTCTCTGTTCGGATTTGGCTGCAGACTACAGTGCAGCAGTGGAGTTGAACGCCAAATATCCAAACAGGTTCAGGTAATTATCACACAGGAAGTGTATGACACTGAACAATCGGGACCTATGGTTCTACCCTGAAAAATTTAAAAAGAACCTTTTAATGTGGTGCTCTAGCTGATTCCCATTGGACATTTTTTTTAAAATGGCGAAAAATATTCTCATCTTTTTTTTCTCGAAACTAACGCTAGGTGTACTTATAAATAAGGTGTGGTTGCGATTTTCAATCGGACATCCAAAATTTTACAATATTTCGCAATTTTAATTTTTACTTTCTCATTTTTTCACAATTGGAAACAGTTTTGTATACCCGAAATTGTAGCCACAACGCAAAAGAAAATAATGCAAACTAGAATGAGACACTTTCTGCCATTGTGTAGGATCTTCAGTCTCCTTTATTTTACATGAAAAGAACAAAAAATACCAAGTAGACATCAAAGACAAGACCCCTGTCGACCAGAATTGTAATAAAAATATGAAATAAAAGAGGTTGTAATATATCTCTATTTTATTACCTTCATGTGAAATTTTAGGTGTCCATTATTTTTGTTAAAAAATATATAAACCCAATGTATGCAGTAAGTAAAGTCAGATTATAAATGGTGTCAAATCATTCACACACACGTATTGTAAGTAATTTCTTTTGTATTCAGTCCGATGTTTGATAAATATTTGCCTTTTTTTTATACATTTGTGTGTTTTCGTACAGGGTAGTACGTTATGAAGATCTTTCAGTGGAGCCATACACCAGGGTTCAAGATCTCTTCGATTTCTTGGGCTTGGATTTCCATCCCAGAGTTAAACATTTCCTGGATACTCATACAAAAGTTAATGTTGGAGGTGTTTCAAGCACATACCGCGATTCTAAATCCGCACCATTTCATTGGCGTCAGGATTTATCTCATCGAAAAGTGAGAAACATTCAAAGAGTTTGTTTGCCTGCAATGCAGCATTGGGGTTATCTCCTTGCTGCCAATAGTACACATCAGCATGACTTCAATCCTTTAGGTTCCTTTTCACTGACACTGACATAGCAGAAAAGAAATGATGAGATCATTTAGACTATTTCACTGCAGAAAAGCAATTAATGAGATTATTTTCCTTAATCATGAATGTATTGATGATGTGGCATAAAGACTTACAAAACAGAACTACAATTGAAAAGGTAACCAACATTGTCGGTTGATTTCATGAAAATTTACTGTGTAATGCACAGAGTAGCTCATGTACATAATTATATACCATAAACATACCTCATTAAATCTAATGTTGGGCCATGTCAATTATTGTTTCTGTGTTGTGATAAAATGCTAATGGCAGCTGCTGCTGTCCTGTCAACAATGTCAGCTACATTCACAAAATAGTGATGGTTCAAACAAGTATATATTTTGAAACATGCAAACTTTTCAATCAATGAAGAGAAAAGACATACTGCATTGTTTCGTAGTTTTACAACAGAAAATCTGCCTTAACAGAACTGCATTCATTTTCACAATCTCATTTTTTTATCATTCCATTGTAATGTTGATGCCACTCATCCGATTTTTAATGCATTGTGTGCTGTAATGGTGCTTTTTTTTATAATGGCAATATTTATTTTATGCTTTTTAAAGCATATCATCTAGTGATTGACTTGTGGTATTGCATTTCGTTGGCAATGCGAAAGTTAATAAAGAAAAAGGTACGCCACATTTCTTGATAGAACATTCACATATCAAGCTGATTTGATTTGTAGTAACATATCATCTTCCTTGGTTATTTCAAGAAATTTCTCTTGTTGAGATGCATAATTCTAATTTTATGGGATATTCACATACTTCTGATTATTAGTGTATTACAGGGAAGCGAGTACCATGCCATGTTCTGGGGTTTTATGTATCACATTCCTTTAGAATCATATGCAAAGTTAATTTTGATTGTTGAAAATGCGTAAATGTGCCACTTATTAAGTTTGCTCATTGAAAATTTGCCTTGAAAAATGTATAGCACTCATTAAAGAGGTTTAGTAGTAGGTAAGACTGAGTCTCTCGAAATAATTGCATTTCTCTTTCACTAATATTATTATAGAACTTCCTGGAAGTCAATTGAGAGAAATTACAAGAAGAGTGCAACAGGTGAAAATATTAGTTTTGTAATGTTTTGACTCGGAATTACTTTTCATGAGGTATGTAATAACACAGAAAATACTCAAATACGTTTTAGTATACAAATACGATAATTTTTCAATTTTCTCACCACAGCAAGCTGGCGCCCTGCCCCTCCAAAACCCTTCTGTTCCTTATAACAAATCCAGGAAAGTTAAACGATACTGCAAAGAGTAGGGTTAAACTTTCTCGATCCTGCATTTTTGCATGGAAAACTTTCCTTGGATTTCTCAAAAGTAAAAACCTTTTTTAATCTTTTTGTGACTATCAAGGAAAGCGAAAAGCTAACTGTCAAGTCAGATTGAATGAATTCAAATGTTTTTAAGAAAGTGTGAATTGTTCGAAGAACATTGCCATAGAATACAGAATTAATTTTTATTGTAAATTTGTTTCCCATATTAATTGCATTGTTTTTATTTTTGTTGATATTTTGTAAGTACGAACATTTATATATTTTTAACAAATAAACACAATATATTGACAACACTCCTTCTTAACGGAAAAGATAGGGAAAGGGTGGGCATTAACATGCGAGAGTTCTCGCACGGATACGCTAGTGGCAAAAATAATTTCTATAAAATTTAATGTCATTATTTACTTAAATAAGATTTTAGATGAAAATACCACCGACTCATCTTAACCTTGCTAATGAAATTTTAGGTTGATTTTCACCTGAAACTACACATGATCGGCGATGTTGGTTACAGATTTCTAGATAACTGGGGCAGAACGATCATTCGCGAAGTGTTGACCGTTGCTGAAGGTACTTCTCCGGCAGTGGTTTCGAGTTGACGGAAGGAACTGATGGCAGCGGTATAATTCTTGTCCGGAAGTTATTCACTTTTTGTTTATTATGTACATAAAATGAAATTCTGTGGAGACGGCAAGGGCCACAAATCTCAACATCGTGACGGCTGCTCGCGTAGGGCAGAAACACACAAGGCGCGGCGCGGCGCGGCGCGGCAGATTCTATAGCGCACACAGGGTTGCGACGCGACGCGACTCGGAATGGAAAATAAGTTGGAAGCGGGAAGGGAGTGTACTAATACAGTTTGTTCAGGAAGGCAGGAACATGGGGAAATGTCACCATTTATTTCCCATAATTGGCGAAAATTAACATTTTTTTTCTGGCAGTGTCCTAGAATGTTGCCGGCCACTTTCCATTACGTTCGGAAACAAATCGGCCAGATTTGGAAAGGCAAATAACCAAGTGACCCAGAAAAAGGCTGGTTATAACTATCTGGTATGTTTTCTCTCCCGAGCAAACTCTTTGAAATCTTATCAGCATCACCTATCAGCATATTATCGTATCTCGCTTATCTTATTATTATTCTATATCCCCGACTCTTCCCGATTTTCAAATGTATTTTTTATCTTTAACTGATAGGATTTTTATTTTAACACTAAAGAAAATATTAAAGCCGGTCTGGTCAACTCTAAGTTCACTCTAAGTGCAAATTATCAATATTTTCTCAGCAAATAAAAATTGATCAAAGAATTATGTTATACTAATTAATAACAAGTTGAACTAATGAATATATATTTTTATAAGCCTCTGAAAAATTTCTCTATCTTTTATTGCTTCTTCTACAAATTTCCTGGTTTTCCGTTTTTCAGAAAGTAGCCACCATCCTTATTTCTGTTATTAACAGGTAGTAATATTAAGAATAGGCTAGAAATTAAGTCCTTAGAAATGCTAAGTAATAAATATTAAAAGTACAAATATGAATGATGACATGATTGTCTCAGTTACTGTAAGGTGTTAGTTACAAGGAGGCCAGAAATACTTTGTCAACGATTTTGACGCTGGAGATTGATTTTTAATTATTGACCCTCAATGATCTGCTTCATAATATACTAGCTGACCCGGCGAACTTTGTTCCACCTCAATGGCAATAAATAAGCAGTTTTTTTTAATGCGAAAAATACCAAAAAAAAATACCTACATTATCATTCATAATTATTTCTTGTATTTTAGTACATAGGTTGCTCTTCATTTAAGACCGTTGTGATACAGCGACATTTTTGTTTTATTATAGGCGCAAAAACAAACAACGCAGATGGTCTTCCGACACCCGTGAACTGCCACGGGGGTATAACTGACCATGAGAAAAACATGAATGTTCTAGATTTTAAAACGCACAAACTTTTAAGGATTGGCCGTTGTGATTTGTTGATGGTCGCTGGCAATGCAAGACGTATCGGAAATTGAAGTCTTTTTGTAAATTCAAACGACATATCGGTTGGCGATATCGGTATCCTCGGAATGAGAACTTCTGCACCTTTGAATTTTTCCTATCATTATCGTTTTAGCGTAAATTACATTGTTTATCAATTTCTAACGCACAAACGCGTACCGTTGCACAGTTTTGATTGATTATGTTCGAAGCATGAATTAGCGTAAATTGTGCGGTGGTAAGCCAAGGGCACGTCCAACGAGTTTAAAAATTCAATTGGATAGTGGTGGCTTCATCTTCATTTGTGACGCAGTCATAGATTTGAATGATGCATGTGTTCCAAATGATCTATTTTGATTTATATTAGTTTAGGTCATCTACATTTCTTGTATTCTTTTCGCTAAAATTGCTCGCTCACTCAACCATTCATAGTGTAGGTAGAAATAATGTCTGGATACATGTTGAAGTGTCGTTTTTTGATAAAGACAAAATTACAGGGAATTTAATTAGAAGTTGATATTTAAATCGCTCGATTCATCGACAGGGTACGTGGACCAGTACTGATAGTCAGCAATTGACCTTCGAAGAAATCTTTAGTAGATGTATCAATTAAGCCAATGTACACTTTCTCATGTTTGTTGTCCAGTGCAGTTTCTTCACATAGCGCCATAGATTTGACGATTTGAGGCAAAAGGCCGTTTATTTCGTTCGGCAGCCGTAGATCTTGGAAACTACTGGCAGTATTTGGCGGAAATCGCCACACAGTAAAAATTCATTGGCTCTCCCAAAAACAGCTCTCGAGTCATTGGCGAAATCTTCTTTAATGTTCGGTTAAGTGCTTCTAATGCACGGTTTATGCGTTTTTTTATATATCTTTATTTTAATCACAAAAACAGAATTTGTCATCCATACCGTCATTACATAATCTGTCATTATACGTCAATTACATAGCTGTCATTTGCGTTTTTGTTATTCCAAGTCTGATTCATTTTTGTTATACCACGTTTTATAGTGACGACGTTTCATGTCAGTACACGAGAATGCTGTCGAACGGATAAAAAGTATCCATATGTCCTTCTCCTGGCTCTAAACTTACCCGCTGCCAATTTTCAGCTAAATCGGTTCAGCCGTTCTTGAGTTTATAAGTGGAAGTAACTGAAACACGACTTTCTTTTATATATATATTAGATTGAAATAGTTGTTTAAGTGCCACATGCTTTTACCAATAAATTATTGCAAGAATTTCATTTTCATATTCAATTTCATCAAAAAATTGCTCTAAAATGTTTCTTTAAATGTGTGTTCTCAAGAGAAAAGTACACTTTATAATAAATTGGCTTTATAACAATTACAATCTCTGTAAGTTTGAAAGTTGTAATCCTCCCCAATGATCAGAAAAATAAGTAAATGGGCACAGTACTGTGTTTCAGGCAGTTTGATGAAAATGCTTTTTTAAACAATAGTCTAAATATGATTATTTGCAAATTTAATAAATTATTATTATTTTACATCCCTATTACAAACATGAGAAATTCTCTGCAATGTTGTAGCGCCACTTGTTGGAAAAGTGAGGAAATGGAAGATCAGAGGTATTAAAACGCATTCACAAAAGTGTCACACAAAACTCCTCACACTAAAGAGGTTGGCTCGACTAAATGTAACTTTTTTCTTAAAGGTAAGGCTAGTAAAAAGGAGAGTAATATTTGAAAGCAACTAAAACTAGACAAAATTTACAAAAACAAAAAACCACAACAACAAAACTATCATTAAAAACAATTTGCCATAAATGCAAAGTTAAAATATATTATAACCAAAAGAGTTGAGTGTCAACAAAAGATTAAACGTCATTCAAAGAAGAAATATTTCACAAATAAGTGTAATTTAATCATTCTTCCCTCTCTACTAAGGAGAAGCTCCTTTCATCTTTTTTTAATACATTGCACTACAAACCTAAGATTATTTTCAAATAAAATCACCTTTACAATAGTTACTGATACACACATTACAGAAACATAAATAAATAAACTCAAATGATGAAGGAAGAACAATGGCTTTTTTTAAAACAAATTTTGCATTAATTTAAGGTACTGAATTATCAGAATTAAGGTACTGATACTAAACAAAGTTTAATGTAATAAAAGAAATCTGCAATATTAGCATTCAGCTTTTTTCTAGGCAAAATACTCTAGCATGTTCTATCGTATTACTAATAGTAACTAAACATAGAATTAACCAAAGATTTGCAGAACTCGTTTACAAAAATGCCACCTCAATATTGTAACAACACACCATAACAACACAAAGCAGCACTAAACATCAAATAAAACTAGATTCTCTTCTCTGCATTTGACGGTGCACAGTAACAATTACAAAATATGAGCTTCAATCCTAGTGGAAAACATACCGGAAATAAGTGAATAATTGTACGTCTGGCAATACTGAATGGAACTCAATTCGGCCATTTTTTGATACACTGACTTTTTGGAAAGAAGAAATAACCCTCAGCCAAATCTCACGAAACATGTCCAAAATTGATGTCTATCAAGGGCATATTGATGAAAACATTTAAAGAATTTAACAATATGAAAGAAATTAATTATTATTATTATTATTATTATTATTATTATTATTATTATTATTCGTGTTTCATCTATTATCACTTAAACAATTGTGTACCTCACTAACAATTTATGAAGACAATCATGTCAGTGAGGTGTGGAAAGGTGTACGAGTTGGCACAACAAAAAAAATCTCTATGAAGCCAACTTCAATGTAATATTAAATTTATAATAGAAGAAAAACGAGTAAAAAGAATCACATTAAATCACCAATCATGTCTACTATTTCCAGAAAAATACTTCTATTATCACAAAAATTATTCCATAAAATATCTCAGTTGTGAATG